ACTCTTTCCTGATCACACGGTCCAACCGAATATCACCTAGACGGGGCCTAGATCCTAGACCCAGGTCTCCCAGGATGACCACGCACGGATCACCAGCCTGGCCAGCCTCATCGGTGCGAGGAGAAGCTTCTCGTTTCGACGCTGGTCGTCTCGCACGGCACGCGGAGCGCGGAAACGAATACTGTCAAACGAGCACGGTTAACTACCGACTAAACGCCGCAAAGTGTGCACCGTGTGTGCTACGCTGTGTTTATGCGAATGGTGGGGCTGGTAAAAAGTGCTGGAACACGGGCAAGCAGGGACACCGATACGGTCGCCGGAATAATTGTTACCGCGTCGCACAGGATGGGCACAGCTGGACACCTCATTGACAGTCTATTCGGGGCCTAACCCAGCCGACCTGTGTCGTGAGCCTGCTCGTATCCGAACAGACACGTTGATTTAGCAAGATCCGCGAGAACCGCGGAGGAACGGAGGAACGGCCTCGGAATACGAGAGCGGATGATTATAAAATTACAGAGCTTCTGCTAGTTGGACGCTTGATGGAACTCGTTGCAGCTCCAGCTTCGCGGCTCCTTCGCGTTTTATGATATTCTTCGCGTTAGGTCATCTCGCTAACGTCAGGTTAGCTCTGGTCAGTTGTTTTAGGTGGAAATGATAGCGGTTTTTCGATGTTCTTCACGATTAATCGATACTTCTCTACGAAACTGCTGTCATGACAGGGTCTAGCCTTTTGAACCTAACTACTTGGAAACTGCTCGCGTTGTTTTAATGAGATGATGTAATATTGATAGAAGGGTGCTCACACGACCTAGGGACGCGATCAGCTTTTCTCTTTTGGGAAACGTGACTGGTTTCGTGATAATCTCGATTTTGCTTCTGCCATAGCTATTTTCGTGAAATAAATATGGAATACTTTATGACCGCTTCGTGGATAAGCGTTTAGAATGTTTCCCGAATTTTGTTTCCGTTTCGTGTGTCGTATAATCGATATTCGAATTTTCTTAGAAATTTTATTCGAGTCCCGAATTATCGTCACTTGTTGCACGCTGCGACCACCATCGCTCTTCCAATGCGAGACTAATTTTTATTATCATAAAACACCAATTTCATCGCAATCTCGACACGAATAGTTTCAATTTTCTACCCAGAGCTCGTTACTGGAATATCCACTACAAAATTTCATTCGATTACCTTTATCTCCGCTCTTCTTTCATTCTTTCTCGTCTCGCATTTCTGCTGTATTTTTATTAATCGCGACATGGTTTTCTACTATTAAACGAGATAAGGAAAGTTGAATCGTTATCATTCTCTGAGGTTAAATCTTTCCATGCAAAAGATTTTGCTACGATCGAGGTGCAACGATACCTTTTTGAAAATTTCCCCTCCACTGATTTTTTGTATTTCCGCTTTTTAAAAATCACCCAATTTTATTATTCAAATAGGCGATTCGTTCTTCAAAAATTTCGAAAAAATAAACGATTTACTATGGTAAAATTATTGGTAACAAGAAGCAAATTCTAACGTGAATTTTTAAAAATAATATTTTTGTTATTTAGTAATAAATATTGGAGCTTTAATTATCAGAATTGCTAATAATATTTTTATCGTCAACGACGTCGTCTTTGTTTGCTTTATAATTTATCAATATCGTCAAATATTGCCTTCTCGATATCAGGAAACAAAAAAGTGGGAAGGAAAAGAGAAAGACGAAATGTGAGATCAACTGTTAGAAAACTCGCACACAATCCGATAAATGAAAATACTCGTGAACGAAGAATTTATTACACAATTAATTTTGATTTTTAGTAACGAAATGTCCTACTGGAGTGCTCAACTATCAAAACGTTCTATTATATTTCTGTCGTTCGTTTAGTATGCGATTGGCATTGCGAACGCCAACGCCTAGTAATGACATCGTGCAGTGAACGTGTGATACTAATTGTTAAAACGAAACAGGAGGTAGTTTAGAAACAGAAACGATAGATATGTTTAGAGGTCACAGGAATTTATGCGCAACATAGCATTAACCAGTTCCAGGAATCTGGGGTGCCAGAGAAGGGATATTCGCATGATCTAAGACATAAACAGAGAGTAACTGAACATATCTTAACCCATTAACTGTCAAATTCCTTTTTATTAAAATTTTTAGTCGGATAAGTTGTATATATGCACAAGAGGTTACGTGTCTATATAATTATATTCAAATTATGTTTCGTTTTGAAAATATTTGACATTTTTGAAAAAGTCCCATAGTGAGCATCGTTATAAAATTATCGATAAAATCATTTCAGTAAAAAACAAAAGACTGAGTAAGTAACGAATCGTTACTATAACCTCTAAATTACATATTTATATACGGTATTTCATATAAAAACCAAAGCAAAAGTATAATACTTCAAATATGACAAATCTGTCCCGTTCAACTCACACGCGAATTTCAAATTTGTTCGGTTGCTGTACAGAAACGAAGCACAGAATACACACTTTTTGCTACGTACAATATTGACTGATATATATAGAATGAAACTAAACTGTCAGGCGTAGCAAATATATTTTTGGCACCGAGTGTACGTAAAATTCCAAAATGGGTACCGTAGCAGCTAATGGATTAAGGACATAATATAATAACTTAACATTCGTATTAACTTACCAGTGAAAAGTATGTACCGTCTAATTAAATGATTATAGCAATTACAAAGCATCTAATCTTTTGTCGTTATCGATTACGTTACTCTTTTTAAAATAGAAAGTAATTATTTATTTTATCATTATCGATATTCGTTGTTACGGCGCCATTGATTTTTATATTAAATTCTTTGCAGATATAGTATCTTGAAATTTCTTTAATTGTTATATTTAATATCGTGCATTGAAAAATATCTTTCCTCGTAACGAAGATTAAATTCTTAGTTTGTAGATAAAAGTTTACGTTCTATCTTCGTACATTCCAGAATTATGCGATTTACCATTGGCGTAAGCGAAGAATTAACGAAAATATGCTTATTGAAAAATTTTCCTATCGATACACCTATGTGCCAATAATTATGAAGTATAATGGAGAATCAAATGTTTCGTCCATTTTACATTTTCTGTTTTATCTATTTACAACGCTACAACGCTAGTTCCTACGTTTAGCTTTACAATATATTGGACAACCTAAGCCAGTTACCTGTCGTAACTATGAATTCATACTCTCATTACTCAATTTAACAGCGTTAGAAAGAAGGAGAGAAATTTCTGATATTCTTCTTGTTTATAAAGTGCTCGATGGTTTTATAAATTGTTCTGATATATTAGAAAAATTCTCAATCAATTTTCCAACTTTTCATTTAAGACGATACAATTTTCTTAATATGCAACAATATAAAATCGCTTTTGCATACCAATTGGGTATTAATAGAATGATTATTAATGTTAACAACATTTATCCTATCCTAGATTTATTCACTTATACACATCTCGTCTGTATATTTGTATATTTTTATTTTTCTTCGTTACCATTAATTTTATACCTCACTGTAATAATTTTCTTGCAATTTTTCTAATGGGTTAATCCCGTATAAATAAATAAATAAATAAAATAATTTTCACGAAATAAATTTAATTTGTAATTCGAAATTGAATTTCTTAATTTACCCAATCGTAAAGCTCCAATATTGTGGAAAGAAAAGACATATGGCTCAAACCAATTTCATAATTATCAGCACAGGTATATATGAGCCGTTCACTGCACAAATCGATTAATTCCACATTTTGAAAAACCTTAAATTTAAGTGTCAAAGGACTTGGTATAGTCATAACTTTTATTATTATTTTTATAATAACTTTCCCTGATAATTAAGATTAACACCATTAAACGACAAAAATTTTTGGCCACTGGATAATAAATAATTTATTTCAGAGGTCACTTTGATTAACTTCGTTCTCTAATGTAAATCGTTGCAATAATGCAACTCGAATGCACTAACAAGCCATGAATGATAACGGTGAATTTTTTAGCGCCGTCTTATCAGAATTTAAGTAAAATTTAGTCAAATTTAAATTTATTACTTTTTTCACCTGCCAATCGTTTAACACTTCCAGTAACGTAAAAATGGTAACATTACTAACGATTACCTTTTGGTTATTTTTTCTTATAAATTTTATATACCGTTAGATGAAAGTTACGTTTGTATTTATGCATTCTACGATATTTATTTCGATTTAAATTATAAAGGGAATTTTAAAAAACAATATACATTATTTCATTGCATTTATTCACTTTTTGTTTTACAGAGTTAATCAATTTATATTCTAATAATTCCTACTCTAAATTCCACTGTACTATAACGAAATATCATCGACTTACACTGAATACTCGTCTAGTCGTTTGAAAAA